AACCCTACATATATATATATATATATATATATATATATATATATATGAGCCTAATCAAATGAGAACTGATTAGTTTGTGTTAACTGTGAGATCTAATCTCAACCACAAATCAACAGATAAATTAGGAAATTAATAATTATGGTAGTTTGAGTTAAAATTATAATTAGAGGGCATATTAGTTATTTTTTTTAAAAATTCGTCTCTCCTCTCTTCTCTCTCATCTCTCCGACCTCCAATCTTTTGCCTCCGATGAAATCGGTATCACAATATATCACAATGGGTTTCACATTGTGTATCTTTGTTTTTAAGGTTTGAGTTGGTATCACAATGGTATCACATTATATCACAATGTGTATCACATTGTGTATCTTTGTGATTACTTGGTACCTGCCGGATTAATGTTCATCGGAAGCCAGAGATTGGAGGTCGGAGAGATGAGAGAGGAGAGATGAGTTTTTGAAAAATACCTAAAATGCCCTTTAATTATAATTTTAACTCAAACTACTATAATTATTAATTTCCTAATTTATCCGTTGATTTGTGGTTGAGATTGGATCTCACAATTACCACAAATTAATCAGTTCTCCCTTGAATGGGCCCTGTATATATATTGGTGAATTGCATGAAAATACAATGTATTTTAGTCTGATTTTTATTTTGTATAACATACTTTCAAACCCCTCATTTTGATGATTAAAAAATGATATTTCATACAGTTAGATTAAAATACATTACACAAAATAGGAATAAAACCAATGTACGTTACATTTTCAAGCATTTTAAGATGTAAACCAAATATTTAAATGTTTGAGATTTCAAAAATTTAAAGTACCAAAGTGATGATTTTCAAAGCATGTGACACCAAATAGGAATCAAATCAAAGTACGTTGCATTTTTCATGCAATTGGCCCTTACTAAAAACTCGATAAACTACATCTGAAAAACGTTAGAAATGCACTTATCATCTGTTTATCGACGTTATTCTAATAATTGCAAGACAACGTAATTCGATCTTGATACAAAAAATATATGAATTGATTTCAGGTACCCGCCTTTTAGCGCGCAATCGCATCTTCAAAAGCAACAAATGATTATGAATGTATGACATTCAAGCCATATTCGTGTTTTCTTTAAGAACCTTACTCGTTTTTTTTTATCAAGGACGAGTTTATAGTAAGCGACGTCGTTTGTGCAGGGAAGCTTTAGTTTTTACGACAAAACATGGAACAAGATTTCTTCGTCGGCCAAAGACTTAATTTCTAGTTTACTAAATGTCGACCCTCAAAAACGACCAACGGCCGAGCAGGTATCGTCACATTTGACTTTTAAAGTCAAATCTATCGGCTTACATTCACAAAACTAATGGATGGATTTTCAACATGTATAGATTCTTAAACATCCATGGGTGATCGGAGATTCGGCAACAGAGCGCCAAATTGATCCGGAGATCGTATCGCGGCTGCAGAGCTTCAACGCGAGGCGCAAGTTCCGTGCAGCCGCGATAGCAAGCATGTATACAAGCACCATCTTCTTGAGAACAAAGAAGCTCAAAAACTTGGTGGGATCTTATGATCTCAACCAAGATGAGCTTCAAAATCTAAGAAATCACTTCAAAACATTGTAAGATAACATCTATTTTCTCAATTTTGACTTTTGAGGTCAAACTCTTTTACTTTATCAATTCGATTTCGAACCTGTTTGCGATTTAAATATGAACATTTCGGTATTGTTTGTATGTGTGCTAAAGGGTAGTTCAATGTAGTTATCGGATTTTTCTCGACAAGTTCGGTAATTGCCATAAAACTTAAAGTCAAATTTACTTTGTTGACTTTAAACAGATGTGCCGATGGTGAAAACGCGACACTTAGCGAGTTTCAGGAGGTACTTAGAGCGATGAAAATGTCGTCGCTGATACCTCTAGCGGGACGAATCTTTGACCTTTTTGACAACAATCGTGACGGTACGGTTGATATGAGGGAGATACTTTGCGGGTTCTCTAGCCTCAAGAATCTCAAAGGCGATGACGCGCTTCGTCTTTGTTTCCAGGTGTCATTTCTTTCCTTTCCATTGTAAAAGAAGAGTCGAAGACTTTTGGCTTTAACCACTCGAATCAACCACTCGAAAATCAAAATGGATTAAAGCAGTATTCGTTATAAACGAGTAATTTGGCTTGTGTCTCCTCGCGTGATCAATGGCGGACCCATGATTTTTGCCAAAGGGTGTGCCCTTTAAGGTGGTTCAAAGGACCGCAAAGTCGTCCAATGTGTTTTTAGCTGAATTCCATTTGTTTTCGAGGGTTTTTTTTATAGTTTTTTTGGTTGATTTCGAGAAACTTTTTCGATTTTTTGGTTGATTTCAAAAGACATTTTCAGTTTTGGGTTGATCTCGAGGGATTTTTTTTATTTTTTGATTGATGTTCATTGCATTTTCTAATATTCTAAAGCACCCTTCAAATTTTAATGGTTGCAACTTTCATACCAAAGAAAAAAAATTTTCTATTTGCAAAAACATGTTGAGAAGGTGCACGAGACCCCACTTGGGTGTTCATAGGTCCGCTCCTGCTCGTGGTACAACCAGCGATGAAACACGACACATTTTCATAACTTGAACGCTTGTAACGAAAAGCTGATGAATACATTTCTTTTTGCGACAGATGTACGATACAGATGGGTCGGGTTGCATTAGTAAGGAGGAAGTCGCCTCAATGCTTCGGGTAAGTTTCACCCTACGATAATATACTTAAAACTTGACAACCAGCTGTCGTATCTAACTCGGCTTTAGTGGTCGTAAGTTGAACCATTATTAAAGATAGTATTCGCGACAAAAATTCGTCGCTAGATGCTTCAAACAATATTAAAAGTTCCGTCGCTATTTTTAACATCACTAAAGACATGGTTCTTTCACAGGGAAAATGTATCAAAATTCAACAAAGTTTGCTTTTAGTTTTTATTTATCGTAAACAATAAAACTTTTTCGAGTTCGTGCACGAAGTTTCGAAATTTTATATCGTGTACCCATTTTGACCTGTATCACATTGATCTTGTAACATTTGATGAGGTACCATTTACAAAATGTTTATGAAAGAGTTACACTGAAGTGAACTATAAACATGACGCCGGCATCGTCAAATGTACAAAATAAACAAATTACCGGTCAAAATGGATAAAAAATATAAAATTTTGAATTTCTTTCTTATATTTTACCGTTTTTAAGTTTTTTAACGATAGCCTTCTGTTGTCTATTTAAAAAGAATTGATTTTGATACAGGCGTTGCCAGATGACTGTCTAAGAATGGATATTACCGAGCCGGGGAAACTAGATGAGATATTCGACCACATGGATGCCAATAGCGACGGTAAAGTGACGTTCGATGAATTCAAAGCAGCTATGCAAAAAGACAGCTCGTTGCAGGACGTCGTTCTCTCTTCGCTTCGCCCCAACTAATCGCTACTACATCGTTTTACTTTATAGTTTTCCTTTTTTTCTTCGTATGATACAAACACAGATAATGCCGAAATCAACGTTGAGATTGAATAGGATTTAGATGCACTACAACTAAATCTGTTTTATAGGATGTCTAGAATGTCTAAGCATCCTAATAACATATTTTATAGAACTTAAAGTTTATATGACCAAACTATAAAACGTCTTATCTAAAAGTATTACAACGCTTTTGGTGTTCTAAAAAGTTCTTTAAGACACTTTTAAATTAAGGCATCACAATAGCTATCTTATCAAAAGTGTCCTTAAAAACCATCTTTTTAATGACACTTTTTTAAATATCGTCGTATAATATAGTTAATACGACACTTTGTTCTAAAAGTGTCTTAAAAAACGTCTTATAAAACCTATTGTAACACTTTAAGATAAGACACTTTTTGATTTGATCCTATAAACTTAAGTTCTATAAATTAAGTATTTTATTAGGACGTTTAGACATTTCATGCATCCTATAAAGCCAATTTTATTATAGTGATATAATGCTCGTAATAAATCCTTCGGGTATGTCTGAAAATGTTTCCATAGAACCCGTTGATGTTATGCTTTAGCTTCTCGGCTTTCTGAAATTTTCATCGTACGTTATCATAACACGATATAATTAAAAGAACGACGAATTAATGAAAATTGTTCGCAAGCCGTAAAATAAGGGAAACAAAATAAAACATTAGTGTGTTTTTATACTTTTCTCATTCATATACTTAAATGAAATAATGTAATATTCTCATATCTTTCGGATAAAAATCATCTGTCGTGAAATCATATGTTTCATTCCTGTCCCACCAAAGAAATTAAGACCGTCGGATTTTCATTTATTTTAGATTTATCTATTCATGTTTAGTTTCTCTCTCTGCTTACGTGTATTCATATGATTGGTGGACATGAATGAGACATGTGATTTTGGGACAAATGATTTTTTACAAAGTGTTTAAATGTGTTGTTCTTAGGAATGAGACAACAAAAACGCATCAACGTAGGTGATATGAGAAGCATACGCGAAAGGGTGGTTAAAATATAAGGGAATTTGTGTTTGTCTCGTATAGCTTAAAGGAATAAAGGTGAAGGACCAAGCATAGATCGTTGAAAACAAAAAGAAAGACCGACTTCGTTGTAGCGGTACTATAACAGTTTTGACACATACTAAGGACTCCTCATGTTCCATCAATCTCAAACTAAATGTTCAGATTTCTATCTTAATTTGTTCTAAAATAAGTGTTCATTTTCAAAGTAGTAGGTGTTTGCTTTTCAATTTTATTCTTAATTATGAGATGGAGAAATTATCTGCCACATTTATTATTAAGGGTATAATTGTCATTTAGTTAATCAAAAAAATGTAATATTAAATATTTTTAAAGCTCTACGTCTAACTAATTGTGGACATTTATTTCAGGATAGAAGAGTATTAGATTCTACCATGCCTAAACTTTAATTTTACATAGGAATATAGGATCTAATTTATGGATAATTGTTTCTTAGCTTGGAAAAGTGTCTTCCTTCAGTTAGGAGCTTAATGAATAATTGTTCAGCACAAGACTCTAATGGCTTGTTTTGTTAGGAACTTAATGAGCTTAATGACACTTACAATTTATTCGCTTAGTCATATGTTACTGTTTTGTAGTGACTTAATTAATGATACATAGAGTTGTAGTTTTATGTAGAAAACCAAGTTTTTGCCTAGCCTACCTCTCATAGTTAAAAAAAACGATCCCTCCATCTATGAAAGAACACTCCAAAAAAATATTTCACAATCTATACAGACAAATTAATTCGTACAAACAACTTTATTCATACATACCATAATAAAAAACCAATCATACTAGACCTTACATTATTGCTACATATTTACCTTCTGTGTTGGAATAAAAAAGCAAAGTAGTTCTAAATGAAGTTGCACTATAGAAAAAGTAGGTTCATCGGACACCCTTAATTTCTAGGTGTCCTAATAGATCGCTTTATAGAATTTAAGTTTATATGAACAAACAATAAAACATACTATTTAAAGGTGTTGTAATAACTTTATAGGACGTTTTTGGACGTCTTAACCAAAATTTTAGGACACTTTTGATACAAAACATCATATTAGCTATTTTGTAAGACACTTGTAAGAAGTGACATATGAACAAATCTTTTTATAGTACACTTGTTTTTATAAGAAACATTTTCAAATAGTGTCTTGTAAAATAGCTAATATGATGCTCTTTTTATAAAATTATTCTTAACAACTTGTAAAGACACCCAAAAATGTCTTATAAATTTATTACAACACCTTTAGGTGGGAAGTTTTATTGTTTAGTCCTAGAAACTTAAGTCTTATAAAACAGTCTATTAAGATGCTTGAACATTTTTAATGTCCTATAAACCCAATTTTATCATAGTGTTGGTTTTGATCCTTTGATTTCTATAAGTTTGACAACACGTATTACTATGGACGATATTTGGTATCATATCGTTGTTTTACTTGATAGGAACGATAATATTAACACATGTATATACTTGTATGACAATATAAGTGAGTTTCCATTAGCGTTTTAAATATCAAGTGTTCGGGAATATTGAAACTACCATTTTTCCCTCTAAATTATCATAAATTTTGAGAATGAGTTATGACTTTGTTTGAGAAACTAGCTTATGGTTGATAAGCTAACTGGTAGCTGATAAGTTGATTGATGAACTGAACACGTTTTGGTAAAAAAACTAGTTAAAAAATGCAAATGACCAAAAAAGTCATATTATAGGGAAATTTATTAAAAATAACCATTTTTCAGAGTTAGTTTCACCTCCTAACGACTTTCTCTCAAAGTTTACCAAAATAGCATAGGTCCGCAAAACACACATTCACAATTGCAGACTCAACTAAAGGACAAAAAATGTTTACATTTTCTACCCCTGTGAGCAAAAAATTACAATTTTCATCCAGGTCTATAAAAAAACCTTAAAATTGTTGAGTTAGGGCTATTTTGGTAAACCTTATAAAAAAGTGACTAAGGGATAAAACTAACCGGTAAAAATGGCTAGTTTAATTAATTTTCCTAAAAAATAGTCTATTTTAACATTTAATGATATATATAAAATTAACATATTAGATGGTAAAAAATAAATAATAACCTGTTAATTAGTAAAGTATCAATTTGAT